ATTATTATTATTATTATGATGATGATGATGATGATGATGATGATGATGATGATGATGATGATGATAATAATAATAGTAATAAAGATTAAATAAAAAATTTTAAAAGTAGACTTTGAATACAAGCCTAAGGCCTACGTCATAAATTTTTTTAAAAAATTTTTTATTTAAAACAAATTTAAATTTATTTCGATGACGTTTTCAACCGAAAATTTTTTTTTTTTTTCTTTGGAATCCGATTCCATTTTATAAAAAAAAACCAGAAAAACATCTTTGAATAATAATAATAATAATAAAATACCGTATTATCATTCCAAATTATTATTATTATTATTATTTTTTTACTTATCATATAAAAACAACATTTTTTCGATAATCAATATGGCGATTGAAAAAAAATTCAAATAAATTATTAACGGAATTATTTATTTATTAAAAATCATTTTACGCGGATTTTTTATTATTTTCCAAATTATTATTATTATTATTATTATTATTATTAAAACCGGAAAACGTGTAAAAAAAAAATATTATAATAAAATAATTAAAAATTCAAGGGGAAATATTAAAAAAAAAAAAAAAAAAAAAAAAACGTTTCGAAACGAGAGAAAAAGAGAGATAGAAATGCTTAAAAATTTTTTCGTATATATATATATATATTTATTTATTTATATATAAATTATTAAAACTAGTTAACCTCCATTAATAAGGTTTCAAATTTACATTATAAACGTTATCATTATTATTATATTATTAATTATTGACCTTAAGAACGAGAGACGAAACACAAGAAAACATGGCCGTAGAGTCAAATCGAAAGTTATTTCATTTAAAAAAAAAAAAAAAAATTTTTTTTTTAAAATTTTTTTTTCGGTCAAAGTTTCAGCATTCCATTATTAAAAAAAAAACTGCTTGATAAATCCACACGTATATACTACCATTTATTATTATTATTATTATTTCGAACAAGTGCCTACACGATTCAAAACCCTCGGGCTGGAGGTCAAAACACTTGTTTGGATTAATCCACCACACACACACACACACCGCTGGAATGATCTTTATTATTATTATTATTATCAAACTCAATATACGCTTTCAAAAATAAATTTTTGACCTCAAAATTTTTTCCTCCTTTTATTACTGATAAAATTTCACCGCGGAATTTTTTTTTTTTTATAGATGACGAATGGGTGGAACATCCGTCGGAAGATTCACTTTTTCTAATGACGCAAGATGGTAGAAATCATTCCGGACCGTGGCGTAACAACACTCCAGAACAAATGTCACTTCCGAGAGCCAAACGTTACGGCAGCAATAGACAAGATTCACCACCCATCGACGTCGTCGATAGAAACGTCGAGAACGATTCCCCGCATCGCAACGAATTTTATAGACCCGATGATAATTCGATGAGAAAACGTAGTACGAGTCCGAGATATCAGAAAAAAGATGGAAGCGTCGTTAGTAAGAGAAGCGAAAGTCCGAGAGAATACCCTAAAAATCCCGATGAAATAGTTTTGATGAGAAAAAGAAACGGTAGACCGTTATCACCCATCAACGGAAGGGGTGGCGGTACTAATAATAATAATCGTCACAGTAATCCCGAATACAGGAGAAGTTATTCTCCGGCTAATAGATACGATAGAAAGGAAATAATAGACGAAACGATGATTAAAATGTCGTGTCCTAAAAATCTTGAAGAATCCATACCGAGAGAAAAATCGTCGATATCCATTGAAAATTTCCGTAAGAAAAACGACAAGGGTAACATGTCTCCGGTCGGTGTCGTCGCTCCGAGACGTCGAACGAGCGACGAAAGCAGTAGAAATAAAATGAACGAACAATATTGGGATGACGAAGAAAGTTACAAGAGAAGGATTCCCGGGTACAAAGACAAAATGAAACACAACGTCGAAGACAACATAATGATGACTAAAGAATACAATCAGCAAAAGATGAAAAGGTTCGAATCCGATACCGGGGAGAAAATGATAATGTCTAAGGAGAAAAAATTACGGGAAAACACGATGAAACTCTCACCCCAGGAAAGATTTCTAGATGCCAAATCGAAATTTTTAATGTTGGAAAAAGAAAGATTGAAAGAACAGGATAAAAATACTCAGAATTTAGTAGATAAGAAACGATGCGTTCAAGACGAAGCGCCCATTTCGCCGGAAATCATTAAAAATCGTCCATCTTGGAACAGATCATCCGACGAATCGAAATCGTTGAAAAATCAAAAAGTCGAACTCGTGAGAAGAAACAGTTTTTTCGAATTGGACAACGACGTGAAATACTACGACAAAGAAATAAGAGGGTAATGTAAAATTTTGTTTCGATATAACAATAACAACAGCAACAACAACAGCAACTATTTAACGATTTTCTTTTTCTATTCCCACTCCTCTCTCTCTCTCTCCCAACAGGAAATCAATAGATCAATCGAAAGAATCCCTACACGATCCGGAATTACAAATGATTAAAAGATTATCGAGATCAGATTCGAGAAACCGATTTTTTTCGCAAGAAAGATTAAGCGGCGACTTGGATTATGAAATACATTACAGATCAGACAGTCCTAAAAAATTTAGGGATGATCATGATGGATTAAGAAGAATGAAAATTAGGAGTGATGCAAGAGATTACATTCAAGACGATCACAGGTACGTGACAAATTTTGTCGTTATCAATCGCAAAAAATTTACGATTTGACACACACGCACACACGCAAACACACAAACACAAACAAACAAACAAAAATTTTTTTTTTTTTTTATTAAAAAAAAACTTCCTTATTGTTTTCATTTCGTATACAAACAAACAACAAAAAAAAAAAAAAAAAACAGAAGAGGTTACAATAGAGATTGGGAAAGAGAAAGAGAAAGATATGCGAGTCCTTCGAGAGATATGAGAAAATATAATTCTAATTCGAATAATAGAAGGCAAACGCCATCGCCGGATGTGGAAAATTATCCAGATAACGATGAGTATAGCCCCAGTAGATACAGACACGAAAAAAAAAGATACGAAAGAGAAAGAACTTTTTCGAATGGCAGGGAAACACCTCCGAGATCCAGGTACGAAAAAAAATAATAATAAATAAATAAAATTATCATTTTTATTATTGTTTGTTATTACCCATTCAAGGCAAACATATCACACTCACGCATTCTCGTACGCACTCTCGTACGCGTGCATAATAAATAAAACTCCACGCACAACACATTTTCAAACTTCATACATTTATTATTATTATTATTATTACTATTATATCCGCCTTAAATAATAATTTCTTAACATTAAAAAATCAATGGAACATTTAAAAATTTAAATCGAACAATAACGACAACAACAACAACAACAACAAACAAAAAACAAACAATGTAATATTTATGTTAATTAAAATGAGGAAGCCATTTTGTTTTTTTTACCCCGCTTCATCATTATCGTGAAGGTTTCGCCCTTTTAAAAGATTTTTCTTTTTTTTTGCCTTACGGAAAAACACACATCGTTAAAACCTCCTCTTATTTATTATACACTCACTTCCGGTTTCGACAAATTCTTTTATCATTATTATCATTATTCTTTTTTAGATGCGACGACGAGGACGACATGAGAAGGAGAAGATGTTACGAAGACGAAGTCGATCATTCTCATCAAAATTATAAAAATTCAAATAAAAATCGTTCGATCGAGAGAGGAGAGGAAGTGACGTCGAAATCAGTGCCATACGAAAGGAATAAAATATCAAAATACGAAATGTTGGAAAACGAAAAGAAAATGAGTTCGAACGCGTTGGCGAAAGAATTCAAAAGGAGAAGTTATCAGGATAAAATGATCGAACAAGACAACAAGAGAATGAATTACGTAGATAGAGATTACGATGGCGGTGGTGGTAGATATTGTTGCGATGATTATCCAGAAGATTCTGTTAGATTTCCAGAAAAATCCGACGTGAGAAGAAGAAATCAATATAATTTAACCAATTTGGAATTGAAGAGAAATTCACATGAGTTGGCAAAAGAATTTAACAGGAGATCAAGGTATGCGATTTCATATATATTATCATTATTAAAATTTCACCGTTTTTTTAAATCGTGTCAAAAGAAAATAATAATAATAATAATAATAATATTTTGTCAGTTTGTTACTACGATGTTTTCTTTTCGATTCAAATTTTGAAGTAACGATTAAAAAAAAATAATTTCCGTTTGTTTTTTTTTTCCGTTACAGAGGTTATTCGTACGAAAGCGACGAAGATTGTAGAAAGCAAAGGTCAAATTCCGGATATCAAGAACATAAAGAAAGATATCCAGGACAACAACAACAACACGAAAGAGAATCTTCGAGATCGTCCCATCATCAAGTTGGTAAATGTTAAACTTAAAGTAAAAAAAAAAAAAAAAAAAATTCATCGTCATTACCGTCAACATCATCATCATCATCATCATCATCATCATCATCATCATCATCATCATCATCACGATCGGACTCATTTAAAAATATCCTACGTCACACACGAATTCGCGCCAAAAAAAAATTCCGATTCACAAAATTTTCCACTTAAATTTTTTCTTTTCGTCGTCTCCTGCACTTTTTCGATTTTCTCCATAATCATCCAGGAAAAATTTATCAAATAAAAATTTGTTTGTTTGTTTGTTTGTTTGTTTTATTGATTTTATTTTGTAGATCCCGAAACGAAATTATCGAGAATGAATTCAGATGATCACGATAAATTTATCGAACAACAACCGAGAATGATACAATTACAAATGGATAGAATGCCAGCGAGGTATCGGCATAGTTTCGTAGACAATGGTCCAAGTTTAAGCGTGATGCCACCAAATCGTGGTCACGACATGTTGCACAGGACCAACAGTTCCGTATCGTCAAACAGGGTCGGAATAGCTGCCGTACATCCTTATTAAAAAAAAAAATTACGAAAAAATTTTGTCTTATCGCGTGTATGTAAACATCACTTTGCAACGAACGCACCCCTCCCCCTTCCCCTTCCCCCCTCACGCACACACTTAAATTATATATTTAGTAATAATAAATAAAAAAAAAACGCCTGGAAAATGTTTTTCCAGGATAGCGTAAAACGGCCAGGGACACAAATGCATTTTTTTGAAATAACATTTTCTTTTTAACGTATTTTATATTTTAAAATCACCATTTAATTCATCATCATCATCATCATTATTATTATTATTAATTCTCTACAATTACAAACTCGAAATATTCGTTCCAGATTTTCTCAAATCGAATCCTCAAAAAACTGGAAAATTCTGGAATTTCCCGCACCCTAATCAGATATCAAAAAAACCGTTTCTTTTCTTTTGACAATATGGCGGACTTTTCCTCTCATTTCCCTTTAATTTTTCTTTTAAATTCAACGCTTTACTTATTCTTCTCTTTATTATTATTATTATTATTATTATTATCACGTTAATAAATAACATTAATAAATAAATAAATAAAAAATGTTTTAAATACCAAAAACTCAACGAATAACTTTTACGTAAATGAAAACGAAACGTTTATAAAAATTATAAATAATGATGATAATAATGATGATTTTTTTATTAAATAATTTTTAATAAACTTATTAAAAAAATAAATAAATAAATAAATAAAATAAATGTAAACAAATTGTAAATAAATAAATAAATAATAAATAACTACAAGGATAGAAAAAAGTGGCTTTTTAATTTGCTTTAAATAAACGTTAATAGAAAAAATTATTAAAAAACAAAACCTATTTAACAATGTTTTTTTTTTTTTTTAAATTAAATAATTATGTACATAAATAAATAAATAAATACATAAATAAATAAATAAATTTTATTATATGCACATGTAATTATTTAAATAAAATAATAAAAAAAACCAACGGGAAATCACAACAACGACAACGACAATAAGAAAAATAAAAATTACTATTTTAGTATTAAAAATTATTTTTATATAAATATTTTCTTTTAAGTAAATTTATATTAATATATAATATATATACATAAATAAATAAATAAAAATATTATATATATATACATAATATATAAATATAACAAGTGCCAAGTTATGTTTTTTTTTTTTTTTATATAACTTATAATTTTTGGGTGTTTTTATTATAAAATATATACTGTGAATATATTATATATTGAAATTTTGTATAACTGATTTTTTACGTTAAATAAACTGAAAAAAAATTCTTTTAGACTCATTCGTATTTTATTATCATCATCATCATCATCATCATCATCATTTACGTTTTTGTTCTGTCAACGACTCCCCAACCGGAAATGGTTACCGCGTTTCGCCCTTAATTTAACGTTTAGGCAATTTAATAGCACGAAAATTAGTTTACTAATAAAACGATAGATGGCATTGATGCGCAAACATATGTTTACGTGTATACATAAATTCGAATTTTAAAAATGGCCAATTCATCAATCATAATCGTGAAGATGGATTTAATGAAATTTTTTTTTTTAATAAATAAATTAATCGTTACGTAAAGTAAATAATAATAATAATAATAATAAATAGAAATCATTATTGATTTTTTTCAATATCCAATCAATAAATTAAATTACAAAACCGATAAAAATTAATTTTAAAAAAATATGATGATTTTTCTGTTTCCAGGTAGTAAGTTTTTTACGTCAATTTTAATTTATGCGGGGGGGAGGGGAAGAAAAAACGTTTCGTAAATAAATAGAAAAAAAAAAAAAAAGGCACCGGAAATGAAGTTTTTGACAAAAGGTAACATCGGAAAAATTTTATTAAAAAAAAAATGTTTTTAATAAGTCACAAAACCGTTATAAAAAATTCCCAATGTTAACCTTTAGGCTGTTGGGGTGTATCGAAAATAATTGGCAATAAATGTCATTTTTTTGTCATTGTTTTTTTTTTTTTTGAACCGCCGCTCCCCTTTTATTTACTTATTTATTTAAATTTTGACATGAAAACTTACAAAATTTTCAAAAAAAAAAAAAAAAACGTTATGTAAAAAATTATAAAGTTTTCTTTTCCCCCCAATTTTTTACGTGAAATTTTTTTTTTTATTCTCTAACGGTGACTTTTTTTTTTTATTTAAAAAAAAAAACATTATTCAATTAAAATTACGTAAAAAAAAAAAATAAAAATTGTGATTGTAATATAAAATAAATGTAAAAAAAAAAAATCAATATGACGGAAGTCGATAATTTCAAATCGATTTTTTTTTTATGTCTATCGATTATCCTATGACCCTACTATTAAGAAAAAAATTTTTTTTTTTTTTTTCATTAAATTTAATAATATCCGCGATATTAACAAATAAATAAATTTTCGTCTGCTAGATAAAAAAAAAACATTTTTCAAATGTTTAAATCGTCACGTTGTTTAAAAAAATAAACGATTGATTATTACACCGACATTGATTTGATCGATTAGAAACTGACCAAAAAAAAATTAAAATTAACACACGATTAAAAACAAACAATTTTTTTTTTTTTTTTTTTTTTTAATCGCTTTTGATTAACGTCGACGACTGAAACAACTACAACAGCAACAACAACAACAAACGCATTATAAAACAAAAAAAAGCCTCTTTCGTAAATCGACATCGTCGCTTCAAAAAACCGCCATCATCATTCAAAAAAAAATTGAATTTTTTCTTTTTTGTTTCTTTCCACATCGTTTGCATAATATTAATGATGATGATGATGATGATGATAATAATAATAATAAAACATCCAGGAAATCGCACTATGTGGGACGGCCCACATTCTTCGGGAAAATACTTTATAAATAGCACCAACTTCGAAATTCGAGCATTTATCCCTAAGGAATCGTCGGGTAGAAACCTGGATAAAAATCCCGACAAATAAGAGCCTTGTCGTGTTTAAGAGTGATAATAATAATAATAATAATAATAATAATAATAATAATAATAATAATAATACTTAAAATTACATTTAAAAAAATTTAAAATTAAAAATTGGGTCAAAATTTTTTTTTAAAATTGTAATTATTGTAGTGAAAAAAAAAACGAACGACGATACACGAGTTACAATACGATAAATAATAAATCCATTCATTCGTTCCTGCATTCATTCATTCATTCATTCATTCAATCATTCATTCATTCAATCATTCATTCATAAAATTTATTCGAAACAAAAAAGAAAAAAAATTTTTTTTCTCTCTCCCTCTTCAAAATAATTTTTTAACCGAATAAAATTATAATAATTTCGATTATTATTATTATTATCATCATTCATTTTATTTATTAATAACAACAACAATAAAAATAATTATGTTAATAATAATAATAATAATTATTATTATTATTATTATTACTATTAGAAAAACACGAAGCGTAAAAGTAGGTGTTTTACGTTGTTTCATTCAAGTGGGCTTTTTTATATATATAAGAAAACGTTTAGGCGTTCGCTTCTTCTTTTTTTATTTTTAAACATGATTACCATAAGTGTATTATTTCTCTCTCTCTCTTTCTAAATTTAGAAGAGAAAAGAAGTAGCAAAAGACGTAATTGTAAAAAAATGTGTAAAATATAAATAAAAAAGAAAAAAAAAAACGGTTGACAAAAATTATTATTACGTTTACATGTCGATGTTGCGACATACACGTGCACGCACGCAGACACGCACGCAGACACGCACGCAAACACGCACGCACACGATCAAAACGTCGAACGTCATATTTCATAAAAAATTTTTTTTTGATATTTATTAATATCGAATATCGATCGGATTTTCTAGAGTAGAGAGCCAAAAAAAAAAAACATGACGATTTTGTAAGACCGTACGAACGTAAGAAACAAAAAATAATGATAATAATGATAATAATAATAATAATAATAATAATATCAAAAAATGATATTAAAAAAAAAAAAAGAAATTGAGTAACGATATATTACGGAAGCCATCAATATATATATATGTACGTATGTATGTATGTATGTAAGCGCACCCGTAAATAATTTTTTTTAAAAAAATGTTACGTAATGATAATGAAAAAAAAAAAAAAAAGTTACCAAAAACGTTAAAAAATTATCCTCCCGCCGCACGTCGAAATAACAATAATAATAATAATAATAATAATAATAATAATAATAATAATAATAATAATAATAATAATAATAATAATAAAGACAAATAAATAAAACAAAAATGGTTCGAAAAACGAAAAAAAACGTTCGCTCGCCAAAAACAAAAAAAAACGTAATCATGAATTTATTAAATTCTAACAACGAAATTGCGACAATGATAATAATAATAATAATAATGATAACGATTTTGATCTATAAGAAGGAGAAAATAAAAAATTTTAAGGGGGGCGGGAAAAAAGGAATCGTCGCCTTCGACACATCCATGGAAACACACAACATCTTCACAACTTCCATAATCCGATTTGAAAAACGAATCGAAATCGAAATGGAAAAGATTCAAAGAGAAAGAGAATGAGAGAGAGAGAGAGAAAAGATAGATAAAGCGAAAGAAGAAAAAGGACACGAAAAAGAGCAGAGAAAAAAAACAAAAACCATAAAAGAAAAAAAAAAAAAAATGTCGTAATGGCGAAAAAAAAAAAATTGCATTAAAAAAAACCCTCAGTGAGCTCTCACGTAAATCTCTACGAATTGGCCAATCTAATAAAAAAATTCAGGTGCGACAACCTAAAAAAAAAAAAAAAAAACCTAATGAAATTCGTAAATTTAACATCGTCATTAATTAATAACGGTTCATCATTAAATGTTTAATTAATTACTTTTTTTTTTTTTTTTTTTTGTCGAACGAGCATAAATTATCACCGAATCGTTGACGTGTGAAAAATGGCCGTAATGATGATAATGATAATAATGATAATAATAATAATGATAATAAAGCACGAAGTATAATTACGAACGGAAACGGTAGCGATT